TCATTTTTCATATAGAAACTACGGTATAAAAACAAATTACGCATTTTATGATTATAATAACTATTTTATTTGTGTTAATATCATAATTACTATTATTTCTCGAAATATAGAACTGATATTAAAAAATAAAAACTGTATTTTTTATATGCGTTGTCCATAATCAATATGCTAATCCTAGAACATGTAACAATCAATGTAGAACACGGGGTTAATTGTCACGTTTTCGCAACTTCATTTAAAATTAAATAACTTATTTTGACGATATGATGAATTCACGAGTAATATTTTTTTTAATATCTAAAGGATGTAGGTATATTATAACGTATATAATATTTCAAATCAGGCATCCACTTTTTTCTAAAAATTACTAATAAAAAACTGTGACAACCAGCCCCGGTCTCCCCTACAAAAGAATTCAGTGTTTCTATTTCTTGGTACCCTCTGTCTTCAAAAACTATACTAGACGGTCATGATATCATCGAGAACATTCGTGCTAAAAATAGAAAATGCTCGATTCCAACATTTACGGACACCTCGTTAAGGATTATTTTATCGGCGATACTATTATGGGAAAATTGACACGAAGAAATTTTCGCAGTGAGAGTCGCAGTCGTGAGAAGATTTTTCCAACAGGAGGAAAATAGATCGCCTTCGAGATGTTTAAATAAATAAAAATACGTTAATAAGTAGAATTGTTTTAAATACCCCCAAACCATGTTTGTTAATAATTCAATTTATTAATCACAGAATTATAAACTAACTAGAGTTACCTATATTCAGTAGATTCATTCACAGATTCATAAATTAGAATTATATTCAGTAATTCCTTATAATATAAGACTAATAATAAGAAAAGAACCTTGCAGTTCACGAAACGTTGGCATTCCAAGAATGGATCTAAACACGGAGAAAACCCGTGAAACGCAAGATTGTCACATAGGTAACACCCGTGAAAGCCTCAAGAATAATAAGAAAAGAAATTAAAAAGGTTAAGTAAAATATTACATAGAATACCCTATGTCCCTCACATCTACTAATTCTTTAATAAATTCACTCTATCGTATTCTATATATAGTAATAATAATATGAAAGAATTCTATTTTCAGTCGAAGCGGATGCTGGTGCTCAATTCAATAATGTGCAAATTTGCAAATACATTTTCCAGTTCTATAAACTGCGCGCCGATTTAGATTGTCAGATTTGAAACGCAACCATAAACTGAAGCTGAAAATAACATTATAAATTACATTGATCGTTAACTAATTTTCATTCATAGTATATTCTTCTATCATTTTCTAGCATACGATGCCTTCAAAATATTTCTATAACAAATTTTATAATTATACAAAATTTTATAAAAATCAAATCTATTCAAAGCTGAATAAAATTTTACATAATGAAACGGAAGCCTTATGTTCTTCAACACAGAGATCTTCATTTAATTGCATATCGTACATCTCTTTCATTCATCCTTCTCGCTTCATGCACCTGTTTCAAGTGCAAGAAAGAGGTGAAAAGATAAAATCTACTGACGCACCATGAGTCGACCAATTCATATACGCGCGTACACATTTCATTCGGAGTTTCAATTAATTCTGGCGCACAATTTCGTCTATTTACACGGCGACTGTGGCATTCGCGTCGCCGCGCCGTGCCGCGTCGTGCGGCGCCGCACCACGCCGCCCATTGCGAGATGTTCGCAGCCGATGGTCTCGTCATCGGTTAGTTCGCTCTCATCGATATTTCGTTAAATTTACAGCGTCTATTCTCGAGGTGAGATACCTCAACTACATTGAATTCGAGGACTGTGCACTCTCTTTAATTTTGAGCAGATAATGCGTGATGCGTACTGTTGTAACTTCAACGAGTTTTATTCGACGAGTTCACGATAAGAAATTACGCATTCGATTACTATTATGCTAACTAAAATTTATGCTTACTATAATGCTTTCTCAAGCAGAACGCAAATCATCATGACGTCAAAATAGCGCCAAAATGACACCAACATTATTTGTTACTAAAAGTCACTTTTCAATCAATTACTATTTATGTACGTCATTTTGATGTTACCGTAATCTGCAATTATTTTGTTTGCACTATTAAATAGGAACAATTCTTTAAGTTAAAAATAAAATTTTGTTATTTTTAAGGATGTTTTACACATATTTTCAAAATGATAAAATTATGAAAATATTACAAATTATTCTAAATCACGTTTAAAAATAATACGACAAATTTGATGACAGTTTACCTACTATCTGGATTATAAATTATTTTAACAAATAGTAGTATTTTTTTAATCTGTGCTCTAATAAAAATATATAGAAATGTATTATAAAATAAATGATAACAATCTCAATTTTTTTAATATAATTACATTTTAATATAAATACATTATGTATTCAAGATTATTTACGTAGAGTTATATTGCGGTGCATAGTTGTTCAGTAAAAAACAGAATACTTATTCTATATTTTTGTAACTATGAATCACAATTAAATTTTACATAAATTATTTTGAATATTTAAAGTATTTATAAAAGAAAAATGTATATTTTTTATCATGTTTAAAATTTTAATTTTAGCAATAAGAATAATAATAAATAAAATAAATAAACTATAAAAATGTGTTATTAAATAAAAATATAATCTTATTCACACAACTTTCATATGTATATATAAGTTTATTTGAAGTGTAAATAAATATATATTAAACATACTTTCAAATTTAATTTTCTTTGCAAGGATTGTACATCTAATACATCCTTAACTTTCATGTGTGTCAAAATGTAAATCAATTCATTTCTATAATTAATTTTAGAGTAAGCGACATCTTTGTATATTAATTAATGTATATGTACTTAATAAATAATAAACTAAATTTGAGGGTCAAATTTAATATATTTCTTAAAGTCAAATTATTGTATTATTAACTTTACTATTTTAATTACATAAATCAATGGCATATTGGTGACTTATAGAAATGATTAAAAATAGTAGCATCAAATCTATGATCTAATTTGATTTAGAGGAATTATTATTTTAATTCGATTGTGTTACAAATTCGAAAATAATCGGCGCGTAGCTATATATCTCAGTTTTTTATTTATAAATACATACACTATTATGCCAACATATCTATAACTTTGATCGTAATTGGCGCTTCTTTACTTATGTTAGTTAACGTCATATAAGTGATCTTGTACTAATCTTAATATTGATTAAAATAATTCAAATTGTGGATATAATTTGAAATTACAAATTTAACAGCGTGGTTTCAAATGTTATTATCAAGTCATATTTAATTCTTTGGTATTCCGACGGCTTCCTTTAATTTCCTTTGATTAAAAAATTGGACAAAGAAAAAAGGAGAAGTTATTAGTAATACGATGGAGTTGATGACAAGACTCAGAGTTGAGTGTTTCCAGACGAGCGACGCGATACGCGTGAAAATCCTACAGTGGCCGAACGAATACTCGTACGTGCGCGCACACATCTCGACGGAGTTTCAATTAATTCGGGCCGGCAGTTTCGTTTGTTTACACGGCGACCGCGGCTTTCGCGTGACGGCCGTTGCAAAATAGCCCGGGCCGATGATCCCGTCACGATCCACCACCAGCGACGTGCGACGGCGCGGGCGCGACGAGAGTACGAGTTCGCGGCGCGTCAGCTGCCATATTCTCGCGTGATTTTCGCGGCAGCAATTACTATGTAAATACCGTAACTCTCCTGCGCTGAAGAAAGTAATTACTGTGATTCGCCATCGGGTGCGAGTGTGCGATGCACAGATTAAACGTCGTCAACATTATTTTATTCTTCCTCGGTAGAATATTCCGACTTTTAACGATGTTCATGCAAGTAACCAAGGTACATTATTTTCTCTTTCTTGAGTATCTTCGTAAAAGTCATACGTTTTTCAATTCGCAAAAAGAATTGTCACTGAATGCCGATAGACAAAACTAGTATGAAAGAAAAACTTTTGCGCATTTAAAAGAAGAAAAATAGTAAAAATATGGTTGCACCATCTGATTTATATTTACATGTTTAATCTCAAAAGATATGAAGCAGCATCTTAATTTAAATGCGTATATTTAATCGATATGCATGTACAATCGAGATACATCGATTTATATACAGAAACTCACATTTCAACCTAACTAACAAGTTCACTGTACCACAGAGCCGGGACAAGGGTGTGGCGAGCGAGGCATTTGCCTCATGTAAACAATTTGAAGGGGCAAATTGAAGTTAATAAAAAATTATTTAAGTTAAGAAAAATTATCAAATATAGAAATTCTTTCAATTGAAAACGAAATATGTAAGGATATAGATTTTGATATAATAATTGATAATTTCGCATCTATCAAAACACGAAAAATATTATTGTGACTTTAGTAACTATATTTCATTTGTAACA